TGCAATTTTATATTATATGTAGAACGTAGTGCGAAGCGAGATGAATGTGACTAAGTTGCAGAGCTTTGTTTTTTAGCACGAAATAACACCAATGAAGTATATACTTTTGCTTAATCTAGTTCTGTGTTGCAAGGACGCATTTGGATCAGACAAGGAGTGTAATAAAGATATTGTTTGTACAACCAAATTTATTATACAATAATATATACAATGGCATAAGTAGAAGTAATATACAAAACAGAATACACAGAATAATATAAAATGTATAAAATTATTCACTAAAGTGTGTGCAGTGTAAACTTATTACAATTTATAAACTTATTACAATTTATAAATTATTAGAACAGAGAAATTACTATAATCTATTACAACTAGTGTCATGGAAGTTCGTTCGACAAATTTCCATAAGGTGTGATGTATCAGTGATTTTTTATATACATGCGATGTGTGCGTGTACTTATTATAAACTAATGTACTTACAACAGTATAAGACAGAAAAAAACCAATATAATATACTTAATTGACACATAACAAATACAAAATATTATTAGTATTAAAACCTAATTAAAAAATATTATTAGTATTAGATGTTACTATTGTAACGGAGCCGATTTCTTCAACTTCGCCCGGCCTTCCGCCTGCCGGACAGCTTGGTCGGTGCCAAGGTTCGGGAAAAGGGAAAGCGAGAAATTGCGACACTTCATCGGATTTTTATACTGTAATGCAAGTGTGATTTATTCATCTAAATATATGTACACAGAAGTTTAATTTCGCGGTGTCGGTCTACGAGATTAATACAGTCCAATTTACGGCGGAATTCCTGTCGCGCTATTTTAACAAACGCGATCGGTTGATTTTGGTACGGCGGGCGCGGTAATTACTTAAGCCTAATTCGGAAAATCTATTTACACGGGCCTTATCTACAAAGTAGTCGTGAGAACGACTGTTTTTCGATGTGGCGGTTACAACGGCCGTTTGTGCGCCGGAGCGCCGGAAGTCGAGAGTCTCTCGACGGGAATCGGTATGGCGGCCGAGTCAACACCTCGGATTGCCGGAAGTCGGTCTCCCGAGTCAACACCTCGGGGGGAATATTCGGGAATGGCGGCCGAGTCAGCACCTTGGATTGCCGAAAGTCGGTCTCCCAAGTCAACACCTCGAGGGGAATAATCGGGAATAGCGGCCGAATCAGCACCTCGGATTGCCGGAAGTCGGTCTCCCGAGTCAACACCTCGGGGGGGAATAATCGGTAATGGCGGCCGAGTCAGCACCTTGGATTGCCGGAAGTCGGTCTCCCGAGTCAACACCTCGGGGGGGAATAATCGGAAGCGGTATCTCCGAGTCAACTCCTCGAAGCGGTAGCGGAATAAGAATGGCTTTCGAGTCAGCTCCTCGAGCGCCGGGAAAGGAATAGGTCCTTACTGCTCAGATCGGCCGGCTTTTATACCCCGGAGCGGCCTACGGTCCATCCGGAGTCGGCGTGTGAAACGCGGGTGTTTGCGCGCCGCGGCATGCACCTGTCGGCTGATAAGCGCGTGTTTGCTTCGTGTCGCTATAGGCGCGTCGTTGGTTTTATAGCACGCGGTCGCTCGCATAGGTGGGTTTGCAGAAACTATAGCGCGTGTTATATTATAAAGATATTTAATGTATAGAAATACAAAAGTGATATAATACGCTATCTAATATACAAAGATATAAACAAAAGAAAGCATATTTACAAAAGGGAAAAGGAACAAGATAGAGAAAAGAAAAGAAATATATATATTTGTGACGGGGTTCGCCCCGTCACACTATAAAAACTATTTATTATAACATGTGCCATAGAAGTTTGTTCGGCAAATTTACATTAAGTGATGTGTCAGTGGTTTTTTTTTTATATACGCAATGTGCGCGTGTACTTCTATAAACTAGTGTACTTAAAAAGTATAAAACAGAAAAAACCAATACAATATACTTAATTAACACATAAAAGAATACAAAATATTATTAGTATTAAAACCAATATAAAAAACTATCTATTTCTAAACCTAGACAAATGTGTATTATAAACTATATTATACACTAATATTTGTATGATAACATTATAAACTAATAAATTATAAAAGTAGTAAACATATAAAACTAATATACAAAAACTATTCTATTTCTATTTCTATTACTTCTGTGTCATCATCACCTATAATAAGAAAAAAGGGGCGTGTTCCGTTTGACCACAGTACGATT